GAAGTCTACAGCCATGTCAGCCTAAACATGCCTGATCTCAGGTGCAAAGTAGGATTGGACCTAGGTAGCACTTAGATAAGAGACTGCCTGGGAATACTAGATGTCACAGGCTTTTAAAACCTAAGAAGTGGATTGGTTTAGTGGATAGACAGAGCTGGCCTCAAAATCAGCAAGTCTTGCCTTTGATACATACGGACCTAGGCAAATCAGTTAACCTCTCAGCTCTGGGCAGTTCTCTAAAATTATAAGTTGTAGAGAGGATGCTAACCTGCACTGGGAGAGGGAGTTTCCTAACCTGAGAGTTCCCCCTACCAATGAAATCCCAAGTCCAGTTCTTATCCTAATAGACTGGAAGATGAGGGTAATTCTGCAGGTATAGTATACCTAGATTTGGACTCAGCACTGTGTTCCCCAGTAGACTTTTGGACAAGATGGAGCTATGTGGGTTCAATGATAGCATAGATAAATATATTCAAAACTAGGTCTCAACATGGAGTCAAAGAGTAGTAATTAATAATAAATCAGTATTTACTTGGAGTGGCCCAGAGTTCCATCCCTGGCCTTGTGCTATTCAATACCTGTATCAAGTATTTGGATAACGGCATCGTCAGCAAGCCCATCAAACTTACAAGTGACATGAAGCTGGGAGGGATGGTTAATACATTGGATGATACAATGAAGCTTCTTAAATGACCTGACAGGCCAGAAGACTGAGTCAAATCTAATAAAATGGAATTGAATCAGGATAAATGTAAAATCTTTTGTTGTTGTTATTGTTCAATTGTTTCGGTAGTGTCTGACTCTTTGTGACCCCATTTGGAATTTTCTTGGCAAAGATAACTAGAGTGGCTTGCCATTTCCTTCTACAGCTCCTTTTACAGATGAGGAAACTGAGGCAAACAGAGGCTAAGTGACTTCCCATGGGTCACACAGCTAGTGTGTGGTCAGATTTGAACTCAGGTCTTCCTGACTCCAGGCCTAGAGCTCTCTCCACTGTGTCAACTAGCTTTCCTAATATAAAATCCTATATTTGGTTTAAAAAAAATTCAGATGCACATGTATAGGATGGGGCAGAGAGAAGGTGTGGTGATCACAATAATTCACATGACCAAAAAAAAAAAAGCAAACCCTGGGAATTTCGTAGATGGCAAGTTCACTATGAGTGAATAATCCATTAGACTGCAAGCTCCTTGAGGGCAGGGATTGTCTTTTGTCTCTTTTTGTATCTCCAGCACTCAGTACAGCGCCTGACATATAATGAACACTTAATAAATGTTTAATGATGGATGGATGGATGGATGGATGGAACAAGGCAAATACTATTTGGGCCCAAACAATATTTGGGCACAATAACCCAAAAAGCTAAGAGGATCTTTGGCTTCATTAACAAGCCATAATGTCCACACGATGGGGAGGTGCTGGTATGTCCTGGTCAGACCACATCTTCAGTACTAATTCTGTGTGCCACATTTTAGGAAAGACTGTGACAAACTGGATCAAATCTAGATTAAGTTGACGAGCATGATGAGAGAGAGAGGACTAGAAACCATGCCATACAGAACCGCTTGAACGAACTGAGTACATTTTATCCTAGAGGGGGAAAATAGACTTAGGAGGTCTTTGACAGCTGTCTTCAAATGTTGGAAAAGCTGTCAGGTACAAGAGGAATTAGATTTGTTCACCAAAAAAGAAGTGGTGAAATGATGGGATGCTTCACCCAATTTAGAGCCAGCATTTCTATACATGTGCAGTATTTGTATAGCTGTTAGTCTAAAGTAAAATCAACATTAAATTATAATAAAGCATTAACAATGTAAGCTCACTACAAGTCAATGAACAATAAATATCCTGTATCTGATTCTTACTAGCTATGTGGCCTTGGGCATGTTACTCAATGTCTCCAAAACTCAATTGCCTTATCTGTAAAATGGGGTTGACATTTTCCCATCACCATCCTCACAGAGGTACGAGAAGAGTTTTAGGTAAAACTGAAACCATCATGTAAATATAAGTGGTTATCATCATTGTCATCTGTTTACTGTTTACTCATTACTAGCCTAAACTTTTTATTTCATCAGTTTAATTATATACGTAATATTTATTCTGTAGTATGTTTTTCTACTCAATCTGGAATAACTCAGTTGTGCATATGAGCAGCTAAATTCCACTTATCAAAACACTCTACACATAAAGAGGAGGCAAAGTATAGACTATAGAGGATAAAGACCTGGCCTGAGAAGCAGAAAGACCTGTCCTCAAGCTCTGCCTCTGCTTGTCTATGTGCTGCGTGACCCTGAGCAAGTCATTGAATTTCTCAATCCCCTGGCAAGCTCTCTAAGACTCTATGCTGTAGAGAAGGTGCTGATTGGTATTGAATGGTAGAGGGAGATTCTTATACCAATGAATCCTCAAGTCTAGTCCCTATTCCCTGCCCCTGTGTAACAAACTGGGCAGCTAGGCGGTGCCAGGGTGCCGGGCCTAGAGTCAGGAAGACTATCTTCCTGAGTTCAAATCCAGACTCAAATACTGACTAGCTGTATGATCCTGGATAAATCATTTAACCGCTGTCTGCCTCAGTTTCCCCAATTATAAAACGGGGATGATAATAAGCAGAAAGCTAGATGTCACAGTGGATAGAGTACCAGGCCTGGAGTCAGGAGTGCTCATTTTCCTGAGTTCAAATTTTGCCTCAGACACTGACTAGCTGTGTGACTGTGGGCAAGTCATTTAAGAAAATGGCAAACCACTCCAATATCTTTGTCAAGAAAATCCCAAATGGGGTCATGTCATGAAGAGTCAGACACCACTAAAACAAAAACAACAGTGTAAATACACCATGTGAACTATTAAGTTATAAAGTCTGTCGTGTCACTGTAAACTATACACAGTATTTAATATAAAAGCATAACTTACATAATACCTCATGATTATAAAATATTTTCCATACATGATTTTCATTGCATTCTCACAACCAAAAGAAAATTTTTTAACTCTATTTATCAGGAAATGGAACTTCAATATAGCCATTCCCCCCAAAAAAACACAGATCTATAATTTTTTCTAAGACTTATAGTCTTAGAGAGTCAGTTGGGGCACTGAGAGATCACATGAGTTGGCCATGGTCACACACACATAGCCAGCATATGTCAGAGGCAGAGTCTGAATCCACATCTTCCTACCTCCAAGACTAGCCTTCTGTCCACTCTGTGACTCTGTCCCTTAAACACTTTCACATACACAGAGCCCCATTCTAATTCAAGTATCTCAATTATCACTGGGCAAATGCTCCTATGTGCTAACTACTGTGCTGGCACTGTAGTGACAACAACAACCACGGCATAATAAAGAGCAAAATCAGTTGTTAAAATTAAGCCAGTCTGCAGCCACTCTAATGCTACCATCTCTTGGGAATTTTTTTCTTTTTCAAGCACTAGAACTAGTAAGCATCTATAACCCTCTCATGCATCCAACCAGGGATAAAAAGCAGCTTGCCACTTCTTTTAAGAAATGTTCTCTTCATAGAAGGTACTCATGAAAAACTTAGTGTCACTCTAGGGGTATTACCTGTGATTGACATGAAAGGTTATGAGCTTTTTGTATCTATTCTCTTCTCACCAAGGGGAAATTCATCTTTGCAGTGAGGATGATTTCTTTACCTATTAAGATGGGTACGCTGCTGAGTATTCTCATATTGTGATGTCAACAATACAGTGTTTTAGACTCAGTTACAAAATAAACATGTCGATAATCCCTAATAGTTCTAATCCTTTTGGGGTAGAGGATGGTGGTAACACTCACTACCAAGATAGGTGAGTGAATGAAATGAAAACACGTAATTTATGCTACTATAAAGGCACCAAGTTTAAGTTTTAATTACAAAAAAAAGGAAAACTAAGGTTCATAGCACTCTGGACAACATTAAAACGTTGGTCCCAATATTAGAATCATAAAATGACTGGGATGGAAGAGACCTTGGGACCATTTAGTCCAATACCTTTGACAACTTAAATACACGGTAGAGGATATGGAAATTGTATACAGTTGGCATAAGATGTTCAATGGGAAAGTTCCATAGCAAACCCGCTCTCACACTAAGTATCTCTGTAGAGTTTTTCTGCTTTGATTTTTAATTTCCTGATTCCTTTAAGAAAGAAAATTCTCCTTTTAGCATTTCTGGATTCTTCAAAGGAGTAAGTTGAAATTCACTGCCATAAAGAGTACAGATAAGTTGTTCCTGGTTGGAATATAGAAGAAGAAAGAACTTTTTTTTTCAAAGGAAAATTTTTCTCTTTTTTATTTTTGCCATGTATAAAAATAGTTTATCACATGGGATCATGGTGCTGCAGCAAAGAAAAGCATTCAACTAGAGCTCAGTACCCATTACTTATATGTATATGCTATTTCTCTCTCAAATTTTTCCATAGAGAAAATGTTTTCCATTCAATTGTTGAAAAAAACAAAACAAAAAACAATTTCAATCCCACTGTATTTCTGTTATGCAAGAGAGAATAACTCTATTTAGGAAAATTGCAATTGGACTTTTAAATAGTGGTCTAGTAAGTCCCTGCCTAATTCTGTAAATTAATTCTCTTTGTGATCTAAACACATGTTATTAAAGCCCCGATCATTCTGTTCTGAGTCATATGTGAAAATGACAGATTCTTTCTAAGAATTCTTCCCTTATCTGCATAACAATATGCTAATAACATTTATGTAATTTAATAACGCTACAATTATTGCTTAATGATACTATTTGTTAAATCAACAATGAAATGATTTTTTTAAGGAAAGACTTTTCCCAAAGTGCTTAAACATAGGAACAGGGTTTTTTCATCCAACTTCAATTAAAACTATACCTTATTTTTTTTCCTCTTCTGATCCAAATAATTCATAGGTAAGTAGTAGTCAAATCAGAAGAATGTCAAGAGAAATATATTTAAATTACAATTTTCCTAACAGTAAAGTTAGATAATTTCCCAAAGACTGAAACTGATACCCACCTCACATGTACAGGTGATCCTTCGAGGATGGGGGGCTTCCTGTTGTAGCTGATACACTAGGAGAAGAAAGAAAAGTTATTTGTCTTCTTCATGTAAAACTTCTGGATATTCAGAGATTTTTTAAAGAAAAAAAAAACCCTACTTTTGATGATACCTGGGGAGAAATGTGGTATAGTCATGTTAATGATTAGATTTAGATTTTGATATACATAAAGCATGGGCAGGCTAGCAAAGTGGAAAGAAAGCTATGCTTGGAGAACTGGGTTCTAATCCTTCCTCTGAAATTTATTAGCTGAATGACCCTGGGTAAGTCACTTAACCTCTTAATACCTCATGTTAATTCCTAGCACTTGACTAGGAATCTGCATGGAATAAGTAAATAATAACAACCAAACAATAAGCCAGATGGAACTGAATTTAACAACTCAAATGCTAATAAAGAAATCACAATCTCTACTAATGGTCTTTTATCTTAAAAGAGATCTGCGCAGATTAAGAGACTACAGTTTTCATAATAAAGTCTCTTTAATCCTTTCTGAATGCATTACATAAATTAGGCCCTTGATATAAACCAATAAACATTAATGATTAAAACATGCCTGCCAAATCTCAATCCTGAAAATAAAATCAATAGAATATGGTGGGTAGGTATTGTTGAGGTGTTTCATTTGTATTCAACTCTTCATTACCCCATTTGGGGTTTTCTTGACAAAGATCTTGGAGCGGTTTGCCATTTCCTTTTCTAGCTCATTGGACAGTTGAGGAAACTGGGGCAAACATGGTTAAGTGACTTGCCCAGTGTCACACAGCTAGTAAGTGTGTGAGGTCAGATTTGAACTCAGGAAGATGAGTTTTCCTGACTCTAGGCACAGCGCTCTATCCAACTGCACCACCTAGTTGCCCAAGGGGGTGGGTAAAAACAATCAAAATAACAGATTACTTGGACTTTGCTCTAATTTATGAGAACTTGTGAGTTCTAAAATTACCTATAAAAAAAAATCAAAACTTTATGGAATGTAACGGAAGTAACTCCTTCTGAATCTGCTTTCAAAGCACATTTGTTCAAAAGAATCACTTAGAACTAAGGGAATACTAAAGAAGTGAGTATCCCTCAGACACTGAAATAATCTGCCAAAAGAAGGCATGGATTGTGGAGTCAACTCACATCTATCTGGAAGTGGCTCCTTAGCTTTGCCTATTATTTGCAATGATTCCAGGCTAAATTCTCTAGTTCTGGAGAGGTAGGGAGCTGAGTGTGAGCACCTAGGAGTGAACGTACACTCCAACATATGTTGTAGTTCACTTCCTTTACTAAATGTGTCTCATACAGTTCTGCCTATTTAATATCACATATTAGGTTTAAAGTGTATGTACTACTTTGAAATCTACGCACTACATTGTTAAGACAGCATGGGAGAATGGAAAAAGCATTGGCCTTGAAATCAGAGGACCTGGGTTCAAATTCTGCCTTTGATATTGACTACCTATGTGACCTTTGATTAGCCACTGAGATTGCTTGGACCCCGGTTTCCTCATCTGTAAAATGAAGGGCCTCTGAGGTCCCTTTCACCTCTAAATCTTTGACATTATTAAATACTAAGAAATATTATGTATATATGTATAATTATCTAAACATTTGAAAAATAATTGATTAAATCTTTCAGATTTCAACTGTATGTTCAACATCTTACAGTTTCAACCTCTGACAACATTCCAAGGATTTGGAAATGAACTTGCTTTGTATTAGTTGAATCTCTTCTCACCTCACTCGCCTTCGTGTGGATAATTGAGAGTTTTTAGATGAGATAAATTCCTTACAAAAATATCATGATACATGGGGTTCCATCACTGAAACATACTACTCCAAGAACAGTAGGCAGAGGCACTTTCTTATGAAAGGTATGAAGTCGTTCATTAAAGAAATCTTGATTGAACTAACCTGAACTAACCAGGACTGGGAAAGATCCTACAGTTATGGATGAATAGAATCCCACAATTAGAAAGTCATTCTTTTGATTCTGTCCTCATTAAAATGCAAACACATTTGGGATTAATAACGCATTAAGTTTTATTAATCATAGGCAGCTAGGTAGTTTAGTGGATAAAGCACTGGACTAGGAGTTAGGAAGACCTGAGTTCAAATATTGCCTTGGACATTTATTAGCTGTAGGATCCTGGGCAAATCACTTAACCTCTCTAACTAACCCAGTCTTAGTTTTCTCATCTATAAAATAGGGCTAAAAAAAAAGCATCTAATTCACAGAGTTGTTATGAGAATCATCACATGTGGTAACATGTAAAGGACTTTACCTTTGCAAATTTTAACGCACTATATAAATGCTAGCTAGTTATTATTTATAGCTCATTGGGTAAGTGATTTTTATCAGATATTTCCTAGAAAATAGGTTTTAATGGGGGTGAGGAAGTGGAGCATGAATGTACTAAGCTTCTGGTGGGAGTAGGGGAAAGTTGTTTCTGCCAACAGCAATGATGGAAAGAAACATAAGAAGATGGATGAAACACTGGAGTCCCTAAAGCCAAACTTTGCTTGCTTCGTAAGTTTGCCTAGGTCTAATCCTAATGGCAAAGGAAGATGATACCCTACCCCCCAAAAAAACTTTGTCGCCTTTTACTCTCCCTTAAGAAAAGGGTAGACGGGAACTAGGTGGTATGGTGGGTAGTACACCGGCCCTGGAGTCAGGAGGACTTGAGTTCAAATCGGACCTCAGACCAAACACTTGACATTTAACTAGCTGTGTGACCCTGGGCAAGTCACTTAACCTCAATTGCCTTAAAAAAAAAATCTGACTTCAGATACGTATTAGCTGTGTGACCCTAGGTAAGTCACTTAACCCCGATTGCCTTGAGGGGGGAGGGAGGCTAGAAAAGGTTTTTCATGATGAAATGTCTCTAATTTGTCACCTTATCCACCTTGTGGGACAGAAAAAGAAACATTAAGTTCACAAATCTATTGTGCTTAGCTTTGTGCTCAGAGAACCTCTAGGTTTCCTTCAGCAGCAACGAAAAGGGCTCTAGGAAATTGGATCACCTGTGAGGACCTCTAACTTCTCAGGCTTAATCATGGCCACCAGGATGTAAAATGTTACCAACAAGTAGAAAGTTGTGATTCGAGTCTCCTTAAATCAGGTCTGATCATGTAAGTCCACTGGTTTCAGAATCTCCTTTGGCTAAACCTCTTGGACGTATTGGAATCTCCTCAAGTTGGCATTTAAGCCATTCCCCAGGTGACTCCAGTCAACCTTTCCAGATTTATTTCACGTTATACCCCTTCTCAAAGTTTATATCACAAGAAAATTAGATTAGTTGCTGTTTCCGGAACTTCGCATTCCATCTTTCACCTTTGTCCCTTTGTGGAGAGCTTGCCTGGGCTGTTCAAGTGCCCTGGAATACACTACCCACTCACTGCCTCCTCTTAGAAACCTTATCTTCCATCAAAGCTTGATTCAGGGGCCACCTCCTACAGGAAGTCTTTCCTGATCCTCCTTGTTGTAAATGCTCTCTCCTTTCAAAAACTATTCTATATTTACTTAACTATTTAACATGTTGTCTCTTCCCAGTAGAACACAAGCTCCTTAAGGGCGAGGATTTTGTTTTTGTTTTTTGTTTTGTTTTTATATCCCCATCCTGTCCAGTGCTAAGAAGGGTACTTTGCATATATTAAGTGCTTCAAAAATACTTGTGGGATTAAAAATTCAAATTCTAAATATAAAACTAACCCATGCTGTAGGCAAGAAAAAACTTGAGTGATAAGAGTGTCAGTGTTTGAACACAGAAATAAGTTTTGATTCTATCTTTTTTCTCATGTTAATTTCAAAATCTCTTTCCAGTCGATTCTGCTTTTGCAACATCTCTCATATAAACATACTTCCTTCTTTCTTCTTACGCTGCCACCACCTTGGTGCATCCCCTCACACTAACAGCCTGCTGGTTAGTCTCTCTGCCTTAAGAGTCTCCACACTCCAGTCTGTCTTCTACTTAGCTATCAAAATGATCTCCCAAAGTACACATCAGACTAAGTCTAACCCCTCATTCAATAAACTCCTTGGTTAGTTGTTCTTTAGTTGTTTTTCACAAGTGTCTTACTTTTTGTGCCCCCATTTGTGGTTTTCTTGGCAGTGGATTGCCATTTCCTTCTCCAGCTCATTTTACAGATGAGGAAACTGAAGCAAACAGGGTAAAATGACTTGCCCAGGGTCACATAGCTACTAAAAGTCTGAGGCTGGATTTAAAATCAGAAAGAGAAGTCTTCCTGACTCCAGGCCAGGCACTCTATTCATCATGCCATCCAGCTTCCCTCAGTAAACTCCAGTTGCTCCCTATTACATCCAGAATCCAAATAAAACCCTCCATTTGGCTTTTAAAGTTCTTCATAAGCTTCCTCCCACTACCTTTACAGTCTTCTTGCACCTTACTCCCTGCTCCCTTCCACAGCACAGCCCTGTGTACTCTATAATCTGGTGACACTGGTCTCTGCTGTTTCTCAAACAAGACACTCCATCTCCAAGCTCCAGAATATTCCCCCACACTTGAAATTCTTTCCCTTCTCATCTCTGCCTCCTGGTTTCCCGGGCTTCTTTCAAGTCTCAGTCAAAATCCCACTTTCTCTTGGAAGTCTTTCCTGGTCCCACTCAACGCTAGAGACTTCCTTCTCTATTTATCTTGAATATAGGTTTTTTTTTGTACATAGCTGTTTGCACGTTGTCTCCTCCATTAGATTGTAAGCTCCTTGAGGGCAGGAACTGTTTTTGCCTTTCCTCCTATCCCCAGTGCTTAGCCTAGTACCTGGCACATGTAGTAGAAGTCTACTAAAGGCTTGCTTTTTCCTTGTTAATTGGACATATGGCGATGCATGAGAGTTGGGGGAGTGGAGCAGAAAAGAAAAGACTTTTTCGGATAAAGGCCTCTAGGTAGGATTTCAATGGTGACATTACAGTCAAGATTCTTTTTCTCTCAATAATAAAGAACAGAAACAACTCTTGAAACTATAAACAGGACATAAAGTAATCAATCCATATTCAGGGGGGGAAAAGTACTT